CTCACACAGCCCTCTCACAGCTCACACGACCCAGATAAGCTTTTCAATCACTCTTACACCCTCTCACCCATCTCATAGTACACGTCCCTCTCATCACTCTTACACCCTCTCACCACCTCTCATAACACACGTCCCTCTCATCACTCTTACACCCTCTCACCACCTCTCAACATCACCGTCCCTTCTCATCACTCTTACACCTCTCACTATCTCCCATAACACACGTCCCTCTCATCACTCTTACACCCTCTCACCACCTCTCTCATAACACACGTCCCTTCTCATCACTCTTACACCCTCTCACCACCTCTCATAACACAGTCCCTCTCATCACTCTTACACCCTCTCACTCATCTCTCTATAAACACACGTCCCTCTCATCACTCTTACACCCCTCACCACCTCTCCATAACACACGTCCCTCTCATCACTCTTACACCCTCACCACCTCTCTCATAACACACGTCCCTCTCATCACTCTTACACCCTCTCAACACCTCTCACGTCCTCTCACCTATCCACCCTACTGTAAATCCTCCGCTCTCAACACACACACACACACACACACACACACACACACACACACTCTCTCTCTCTCTCTCTCTCTCTCTCTCTCTCTCTCTCTCTCTCTCTCTCTCTCTCTCCTTTCATTCACAAGTAAAAATATAATATGTACAGTATGCAACAAGTATAATCAGACGTGATATTCGTAAATATGTAAACTATGTAAAAATACTATGTAATATACGGAAAATAATATACATACAATATGTTCCCGAGGTAGTAAGAATTGTAAGGGTCAAGGAAATGAGGATTATTTATTTTTCTGTATATCGCGGGAATCTGAGAGGTGGGAGTTGTCAAGGGGGTTAACAATTAAATAAGTCACAATATTATTATTTAAACTCATATAACTATACCTGTATGTATAGTTATAATCTCTCCTTTGACGTGATTTTCATGTTGACTTTTGTGAATCTTTCCAAACCCAGGTTGAAAGAAAACAATGAATGGTAATTGATGTTGCCGTTGATTGGAGGTCCCAGATGATTCCCGTTTTCTGTCTTGGCTGAAAATTTTTAACACGAGTTGTTTTCTTGGAGGTATCGTGTTGCTTTACCTTAATGAAGATATTCCGTAGGGTTGAGTTTCTGATTTTAAGTTTAACGTTATTTTTTCACCGTCCTGGTAAAGGGGAGATATTTTGTTACTTCCGTCCGTTCGTCTCGGAAGAGTTTGTTGTAACCGGTTCTATATTTTCATTCAGATTAACGCCAAACTTGGAAGACACTGTACCACACGTGTAGTCATGTACTGCGTGGGTGTTACAGTTCCATAATTGCTTAGGTCAATTTTCAAGTGTGTCAGAGTTTTTAAACCATTTTTTGTTTGCTGTAATTTAATTTTCGAAAATACACCTACATATTAAACAAGCCATTCTTTACATGTTCTCAGACTAGTATTTTAATCTCCTTTGTGATAAAAATAATAATAATTGACTGTGAATTTCGGTTTTAGGAAATAAATTGTTTTGTGATATTGCAATTTTTTTCTAAGGAGGAAATGAAAGATCACCACAACTCTCCATTTTTAGTTGCTTTGATACCTGTTTTTATCTGTTTTGTAAAGGAAAATAAAAATCACATTTTATTGCATGACTTACAGTTTTTGAGGAAAACTGTATATTTTATGGAGACTTGAACCTTCATACGGAGGTTGTTATCCTGGTGTCACTGGCCGACGTCTTTCAATACATATTTAACTCTAGTTCGATAAAATGATGAGCTTCTGTGACTTAGAAATCAATCGGGGAAGAAAAAAGGGAACAAGAGTTTTAGATCATTTTTTTTTTAGAAATATTACGATATATGATTCACTTAATTACCTTTATCTTACCTTTAGGGATTTAGTAACACGAGTTCTCTTAACGATGACTATGACCAAAAACCTCTCCATTGTCTGCGGTATTGTGACTGAAAAATGCCTTCGTTTCCTTGAAAATACCTGGAATATGAAATCTTCTATACCGTGGGTGGTGGAGTGTTGGGGGGGAGGTAACGCATTCATTCTCTGTCGGCGAAAAAGAATTTGTTCTGTGTTGGGGAAAATATTGTATTTGTCGTTTCCTCAGTGTCTGTCACGTGTTGATGTGTGGTGTGTCGCTTCACTTGGGGTCAGTATAATTAAGTACACTTATGGGTCTCGTACCAAGATCATTATACTCGCTGGAACATTATGGATCGGTGTTGGTAGTGTGTCGCCCGCCATCAAGACTTCCTTGTTGTTTGTGACGTAGTGGCGTACTGAGCCAGAGCTACCCTCTTCCCCTTCTCTCTTTTCACTTCCCCCTTTATTTCTCCCTCTTCTCTTTTTTCTATTTACCCTTTCTTTCCCCTTCTTTTATCCTCCCCCTCTTCTTCAGACGGGGAAATTAGTTGTGTTGGTCATGTACACACACACACACACACACACACACACACACACAACATCGTGGGGAGTAAGCCAACCTGAGTCTCTCTCACCTAAAGGAATTTCATTAACGGAGAAAGAAGAGAAGGAAGGATGGAGAAAAGGATGAGAGAAAGACGAAGGCAGAAAATGAGAAAAATGGTGATAAGGAGACGATGGGAGGGAGAATGACGAGGAATGTAGGAGATAGAGGAAGAGAGGATACTGAGAAAGGGAAAGGGAGGAGGGATGGAAAGACTGAAGGGAAAGATTAGGGAGAAAATGGGAAGGAAGAGAGGAGGAAGGAATGAGAAGAAAGAAGGATGGAGCAAGAGTGAGAGGAAAGGAGAGACAAGGAGTGTGTGTGTAGTAATAATAATAATTAACGGTTTATTGAAAGAGCATGGCAGCAGGAAGGCTGAAAAATACAGTTACATAATTGGGGAATGGGTCTCTTGATTGACAAATAATATACAAGGAACATAAGTGATACAAATATGATATATAATAACTAGGTGGGCGAAAATGTTATAATGATAATAATAAGGAATCATAAAGAAATACAAATGAAAAACAAAACAAAAAGTGAGAAACTCTATATGTATGTTGTGTTGTCAATAGTAAGAGAAACAATTGAGACCCTGCAATTGTGTGTAAATGAGGCAGAAAGTCAGATCAGCAACCTGGGACTTGGTCACAATTTTTGTGATGCCATAGCAGCAGGGTCTACCATTAGACAACACATTATGCTTCCAATATCTTCCCAGGCGGTAGTACCTCCCTGTTTGGTAGCTGCCCAATACCTACTACCTATGAAAGTGTGAAGTAAATCATTGATAAAAAGAAGGAAGGTGAAAGAACAGAACCCTGTGGGACACCACTATTGGTAGAGAAACACCGAGAGATCGATCCCTCGACAACAACTGCCATGGATAAGTTGTTAAGGAAGCTAGAGATTAGAGAAAAGGTGGGGAAAGAGAAACCATAAGAGGGAAGTTTATAAAGCAAAGACTTGTGCCATACTCAAATGCTTTGGAGATGTCGAGGGCCACGACGAAAGTTTCCCCATAATCTCTAAGAGAGTGCAGTAGCTTAATCTAACCTAACCATTTGGATTGGGACCCAGTCTTGGTGAATCTTAAGTCTTAATATTAATACTGGGGTCTTTGAATCTGGGCCCAATTGACATGCGAAGGAATGACTTATTCTTGTCCGCGTGTTGTCACGGCAAAAGAGTAAAATGGAACACAAAGTTGAAGATGGCGATAAAATGAAGATTAACTTCCCAAACTTATTTCACCAGATGATCAAACACCCTAACGCAACTTTGAGGGGGGGTTTACGTTTTGTTAGTTGTATAGTTCGTGTGTAAGATGCCTGGGTGAACGTCTTCCCGCCTAGAGTGTACCTGGAACCCAACACTGAGACCAGGTTACTGACTGATTGATGAAGGACGATGGTTTTACCTCACTGGTGTAGAGGTCGGGGGATTACCTCACTGGTGTAGAGGTCGGGGATTACCTCACTGGTGTAGAGGTCGGGGATTACCTCACTGGTGTAGAGGTCGGGGGATTACCTCACTGGTGTAGAGGTCGGGGGATTACCTCACTGGTGTAGAGGTCGGGGGATTACTCACTGGTGTAGAGGTCGGGGGATTACCTCACTGGTGTAGAGGTCGGGGGGATTACCTCACTGGTGGAGGTCGGGGGATTACCTCACTGGTGTAGAGGTTTGGGGATTACCTCACTGGTAGGTGGGGGATTACCTCACTGGTGTAGAGGTCGGGGGATTACCTCACTGGTGTAGAGGTCGGGGGCTTACCTCACTGGTGTGTAGAGGGGGGATTACCTCACTGGTGTAGAGGTCGGGGGATTACCTCACTGGTGTAGAGGTTATGAGGGAGGGGATTACCTCACTGGTGTAGTGGTGTAATATGTTAGGGGGGGTGACTGCTAGAACTCGGCCCCACAGTATCAAAGATCCGCGTCTTATATTTTCCTCATTATGATGTGACAGAGGATAATAAAATACGTCTACTGTGGCTGACTTTAGATAAGAAACAAAGATGGCGGCCAAATTGACGACGAAATTATATATTAATTTTCGTATTAAAAAGTCCTCGACTCCAGTGTGTTGCAAGATTAACGGAGGAGTCTTGAATCTGGACGCAGGATGTGGCCTCTTAGGAAACCTCCACAAGAGCCGGGATGTGACGTTCCTGCCATGGTGTGAGGCGCCGGACGACCACACCCACCCTTCCTCCTGGTCTGCCTCACACGTCTGGCAGCGTGATTGTATGGATCATACGTGTGGCACCACCAATATGGCCCATTACACCAGACCATTCAAAGTTCAATTAGTTTTATGTGTTTTCATGTCGTTACCAACTTGTGGGAATCTGAGGTCATTCCCCGGGATGCTTCCTCCGAGTCAGTTGAGATATCACGGTACGATAGTTTCTCCAGCAGTAAACCCTGGCCTGGAAGAACATAAGTTCCGTTTGTTGAATTTGGTTTCCTTAATTGAAGACAAGAGAACGCACCTGGTTATAATTATGGAAGTCTCGGTGTAATTCTGACGCCATGCAGGCCTTCTCTGCCAAGCGTATCTGGTGGATCAGGTAGACACATCCTCACACCAACAGTTCGGGACAGATTTAGCGTCTGAGAATATGGAACAAGACGTTAGATTACAGAACAGAAGCGCTGTTTTTCATCACCTGTTTTTGGACACATTCTTACATATTCTACTTTATATAAACAAGTTTTCATCCCGAGCTTCTTGATTTATGTAAACTTTGTTCTTTTGGTTATGGATTTCACTTCTTAATCTGAATATATAATCCATTCATTGTGCTCGTGGAGTTTTTATTTTTTATTATTGGGATTTTGTCCACTTGTGTGTTGTGGTTTCATGTGGTGAGATTTTGTCCGCCCACCACAACACGTGACTATGAATAGGACGTTTACGCATCATTTGTCAGCTTTAGATAATATTTCTTCTTCTTCAGTATATTGGACACAAAACAAAGGCCAATTTTCATGAACAAAATATATCACGGATAAAACCATACAACCACTTGTCTTTGAAAATTTCTATAATTATATGAAAACGCAGAAAAAAGAATGATTCTTCACTTGCCGAAAACTGAACTGAAAACATAATAGTGTGAGTCAGTTCTCGGCTCTTTTAGTAACTTTTTAAAATTTACTGATGCGTGATTTTCGCGCGAGGTGTTTTTAAAATGTTTACCGTTGTCAGTGGCCAATGTTTGGTCACTTTTGTTAATGGATGACGCATATTTTCCAGTATTGTCGTATGTAATACTGTTAAAGGGAAGGTTCTCGTGTCTTAGAAAATGTTTGGTGAGCGACATATGTTGATGTACCACAACAATGAGTAGGGTCCTGTTTCTTCTTTGTACACGACGTAACCACAACCGATAGTATCACAACATTACACAACCACACCTTACAGTTCCACCATGTCACAGCGACACCCACGGCAGACATCACACACACCCACGGCAGACATCACACACACACACACACCCCAAGTGAGTCACCCATACAAGGTCTCCCTGGGGTGGATGGGTGACAGGGGACGCCGTTGAAACCAGTAAACAACCAGATGATCCCGGGTTATTGCATAGATTACTCCGCCCGGGCCTGCTGCAGGGGAGATAGGTTTTACAGCCCTCCCTCCTCCCCCCATCCTTACTTCCTCCCTTCCTTCCCTCTTCCTTCCCTCCCCTTCCCCTCCCCAGGTATACCCAGTGTCAAAGATAGAATAATTGAAGTCAACCTGATGATAGCTCTGAGGCTTCTGCGTGGTGATTCTGACAACATTGTTCCTTAAAATTGCTACAATGTATGAATCATGGGATGGGTGAATCTAGATGGATCTAAACTACACCTACACATTTGAGGATCTTTGGATTAGACCACCGGTACAAAGTTGGAGCTACAACAGTGCTTCCTACAGCCCTGGCGGTCAGTTCCCTTCGATATCACAATACCAACATACCCGCCTAAACGATTAATTACGCAAAGCATTTATCTCCAACACACTGCCAAAGTGAGAGCTCTTGAACACATACACACTCTACAGACTGATGATAACATCACACAGACCATCTACACTGATGGATCTCTTAACACCGCCTGTGGGAGGGCTGGAAGTGCTGTCGCTGTGACCCAACCTAACGGTAATACAATTAAGAATGGAGTTAGAACTAACAACTGGGCACTGAAACTACTGTCACTGACAGTCTCATCATCATTGATTCTCTATCCCCACTTGCCCTTGACACCCTCAACATAAGTTGTCACGCGCTTGTCTCTGAAGCCAGACACAAATATGAGTACCTTGTTGACCGGGGTGTCAGGGTCAAACTGTTGTGGTTCCCCTCTCACATAGGCCTCAAAGAACATGCCAGACTTGATGACCCTCGCCAAACTCATGTCTAACAAAGACACTGTTGAATACAGTCTGGGTCTGTCAAAAAGAACCCTTAAAAGTGTAATTAGGAAAGAACTTATTGATGAATTTGAAGCAAGCAGACAAGTGCAAACAGGCATCAGTCATCCATTGTTTACCATGATGAGATGTATCATAGGAAACATGTATATGAAGCAAGTAACAAGATCACTAGATTACAAGATGATGTAAACTCAGACTAAGGTTAGATATAAGTACCTCTGGCAGTATGTTCCTCAAGCAGATGTAAACAAGACTAATGTAAAGTGTGTGGCCAGATATGGCCACAATTGAACACTACGTCCTCAACTGTGTGAAGATAGAACCTTTAGGACAGGTCCAAACACTGTGTGTGAAATGGCACAACACTTTATCTCTAATGGCAAGATAGCTGCTGACATATTATGACTGTGTCCACTTTATTGCACTAAGTAACTATATAATGTGCTTGAATACCTCTCACACATAGGTGAATAACAGAGTGTACGGCCAGGCATATTGCCTCGCACTCCTGTACACAAGCAGTTGCGGTAAGTCACCCTTTATGTACAGAACTAAACAAACAATGTATTTGAAATACTCCTGACCCTGAGGAGTTTTACACACACCCCTTGTTAACTCTTAATCATTTTGTGCTGCCGCTCACAGGATGAGCATAGGGTGCACGATAAACTATCCGATATAAATGGCAAAATTAAAAATTAAATTATGTTGGATATTTATTTCTAGAATTGTTGTCCATTTATATAAACAAAATTGTCAGAGTGGATACAGAACTCGCCTCTTATTCTAGGAAACGGTGGTTCGATTCCTGGTGTTCCCAGTTCACCCAGGTGTAAATGGGTACCTAAGTTTACAACGTGGGGAAGTGAATGTGGTCGAGTGCAGTACCGGCCATCCTGCTCCTTGTATACAGAGGACTGAGTGAGCTGTATCTACACAGTGTTTAGAGAGAGAGAAACAATTGATGCATATAGAAACAGTATGTTTTATCTGACTACCGTTAGCAGTTTCAGACCTTGAACTACAACACACACACACACACACACACACACACACACACACAGTACCATTCTACGACAAAGTTTGGCTGTGAACATCGTGGGCGACATCACAAAGGCGGCAGCTGTGCTGTTATTATCCAAACCTCACGATAGTTGTTGATCAGAATTTCTGATAGGTCAGGCGAGGAGGCCATTATGGTGACTAGCCGTAACCAGAGAGTGGAGAGAACTTTTGTACGTTTACACAATACAGTATTGTTGTGTGTTTGGACCTTGTATTATCATAAGAACTTTTCCTGCTGCATTGTCTTCAATAAATGGGTCATGAGAGGCTCGTCTATGGGGCAGAATGTTGGTCTCTAGAATTTATTTATATTAGTAGAAGTATTAGAATATTTAGACTGGTGGCATTAAACTCATATTGATAGTGTGTTTTAGTAGTATCATTATCGTGTTATCTTTTAGTAGTGTCTTGAATGTGCCTTGCGGGAGACGTAGGTTGATATAGTAAGGTGTTTTAGTTACTTACGTGCCGTGTTAGCTTTACTTTGTACTTGTACAGTTTAATTGGATGTGTGGGGTGGTGTTATGAGAGGGAGGGTGCCGACTAGTGTAGTGTTTTGTGTCTGTAGTTTATAGTGTGTGTGTGTGTGTGTGTGTGTGTGTGTGTCTAGAAATACATATACGTACATTGTGAGACAAGAGTCGGGGCGGGGCAGGAGGCAGGTGGAGAATCACTTGCTACAATTCTCCGTAAACGGGAGATTTCAAGGTTGGGGAGAAACACCAGGCTCTGTTGACTGCTCGTGTTGGCGGCGTTTATTTAGCTTCGGTGAAATCCTTTAGCATTCCCACGCCATATTTTACTACAACGTGCTAGTTACTATATCAAAGTGGCTCCAATCTTAATAGACTCTGTTAAAACTCCGGCGAGTGTTACGTTAGGCTAGATTTAGATTAGATTAGGCCAGGTTAAGTTAAGATAAGTTAGGGTTAGGTTAGGTCAGGTCAGATAAGTTTTGGGCCCACTTATACAGGTAGCTTAGTCTTGAGGCGAGGTTAGGTTAGGTCAGGTTAGTTGAGGCCCACCTGTACAGGTAACACTAGCTTGAGGTTTTGATGACACTAAGAAGGTCCTCAGGTCCCCCTCTCTACTCCATGCTTTTAACAAGTGTAATATTTACGTTTAATTTCACAGCGGGCGGCCAGATGAGTAATTAGCTCATTAGCGTAGTAAAAATAGTAAGCTGCTCCACCCACAAAAATCCCACAGCCATTTTTCGTGTGCGTGGTTGAGGTGATTTACGTGTCAGGGAAGGTAAATCCCACCTGCTCCATCTTCTAGGATTAATACATCGTGGGTTTGGTGAAGACTAGAGATGTAAATCATAACTGCTTTCATATCCAAGGATTAAATATACGTCGTTATTACATCAATGATTATTCCTTGGAGGGGTTGGGAATGACGTCCCTGCTCTGCCCTGTCTATGGGATAATTTTTCGAAGCTCATAAAAATCACAGATATTTTGTTTTCGTCTGTTGTTGAGGAAGAAGGAGGTAAATCCCAGCTGTTTTATCCAATGAGGTGGAGGATGTTGGACTCAACACTCCCCACTATCTCCCAGGATTAATTTCTTGTAGATGGATTTTTTTTATGTAGTTTACAGGACCTGAGAGATTTTTTATTTTTTATTATCCTTTAACACTTATCATACGTCATACACCTGGTGAGGACTTTGTGTACTTTTCTGTATATAATGAACGGTGTGTGTGTGTGTGTGTGTGTGTGTGTGTGTGTGTGTGTGTGTGTGTTGGTAGTTATATCTGTCTCTTTGCAACCTTATCTGTATCTGTCTGTTAATAATCTTAGTCTGTCTTTCTGTCTGTCTGTCTCTCTGTCTGTCTGTACTCTTAGGTTTATAGAAGCAACATTGACCACAACAACAACAATCTATACAACAACAACAAGTCACCACCACAACAACAACAATCAATACAACGACAAAAGTCACCACTACAACAACAACAATCAATACAGCAACATTCACCACAACAGCAAATCACCATGACAACATCAGTCAATACAACAACAACAGCTCACAAGAACAACAATCTAAACGACAACAATCAACAACAATCAACACTCAGACACCTAAACAGGAGTGTGGCGGTACAGGAGGTCTAGTGTTGGACCATTATGTTGGGTCAGGTTGATAATACTAGAGGCAAAAACGTTCTTCCCTAGTATATATTTTTGCTGTGTTTGTTTTGCAGTTTTGGTCGTAAAAGAAGATTAGCAAATATTGAGAATTTGAGGACGTGGGAGCCCTTTATTTACCTTGTGTTGACGTCGTTGGGCAGACTGAAGTATTTTTAGCTTATGTTCTTATTTTCACTTGGTTATTGTTCGTAAAAAAATTACTAACTTCAAAGAGAGAAGGAAATATTATGTGTGTAATGTAATACCTGTTCTATACTTTTGTCGTGTGTTTTGACTGCATTAGGCGTCTTTTTCAGTGTGTAAGAGTTGTTTTTTCTCCAAACACGATGTACATGTGTTAAGACCTCACACCATGTGGAAGACAAAAAAAATGACGCTCCCTGTACCTGTCATCCACGACTTGTCTTCACCATTCAAATAGCACATCAGCAGCCTTGGTGTACGAGCTGTCCCCTGCCAGTGTTCCATTGTCTGCCTTTCACCGTTACTGTAGGAGGGGCAGGTGGTCAACGTCTCCCTCCCCTCCAGCTCTCTTGAACACACACACACACACACACACACACACACACACACACTTACGTTAAATCTCTTCATATAACGAACATAATTATCACGATAGAGAAATTTAATAAATTATCTTTCATTGGAATATGTATTGAGTAAAACTTTGCATGTGTGTGTGTTTGTGTGTGTGTGTGTGTGCGTGCGTGTACTCATACATGTAAATAGTAAGTTTACACGAAGACTAATTAACTAACACTGTGAAGGTATAAAGATCGTTGTCAATTAATTAGTTTTGACGTCAATAGTCTCTTCATACTGCGGACTTGTTGATAACTTGCTGACTCATCTTACACAGAAGCTACACCGCATAGTACTAAATCTAGCAGTGAGTTAATGTGTGTTCATTGAAGTCTGAAAAATTTGCATTGTACAGTAGAAAAAGTCTTTATTTGGCTCACCTGAAGATTAACCACCCCAGACTTATTTCAACAGATGCCTTAACACCGTAACGCTACCTAGTTGGGTTAAGTTAGGTTAGGTTAGGTTGGGCTGTTTAATAATGAGGTTTGATGATTTATATTATAGGTGATGACCAGGGAAGTGAGACAGACATGAGGAGATGAAACGTGGATAGAGAGAGAGAGAGAGAGAGAGAGAGAGAAAAGAGAGAGAGAGAGAGAGAGAGAGAGAGAGAGAGAGAGAGAGAGAGAGAGAGAGAGTTACAACTTCGTAATCTCCTGTAATCTGTGCTTGTATTGTAACTGGTCCTAATTGGATTTGAGACCACTGCTTAGGGTCGAGATTGGTCAGCCCTTTTGGTTAGATTTTGGCAAATCTTCTCAGGTAGGGAGGAAGTCGGATTAGTTGGATTGGTTCATTGATTGGGTAGAGGTTGGCCAGTCCTATTAGGGAAGAGACGGACCTTTTTTGGATGATTGGATAGATTTAAAGGTTAGGGGTTAGAAAGTCATTTTGCTGGGGGTTTAACCTGGGTAACACAATGATATCTGATTGGGTGATTAAATAGTTTGTCGGTTATTTATTTATGTGTCTTTAAATGTCTTTGTATGTCTGTGTCTATCTTTATAATTTTTTCTGTGTCTGTGTTCGTCTTATTATGCCTTCGTCCTTCTGTCTGGCATTGTTTTTCTCCTTTGCATCTTCTGTGGTGGAGGTGGTGTGTGGTGAGTGGTGGAGGTGGTGTAGTGAGTGGTGGAGGTGGTGTGTGGTGAGTGGTGGAGGTGGTGTGTGGTGAGTGGTGGAGGTGG